TTGAGTCAACCAGCTTTTTAGTGTCCTCTGCCGTTATTTTGCCCCATTCCTCCATCATGACCTCCATCAGCATGTTCCTAGACCTTATGGTGTGCTGCCGAATCCTACGCTCGAGTAAGTCCCATAGATGCTCAATAGGATTGAGGTCTGGGGACTGGGGAGGAGTTCGGATTTGGCTTTTTACATTGTAAAGTAGCCAGAGCTTTACATTGTGGGCTGTATGCTGTATGTATACATTTATCTATATTTTTTTTTTGACAGACGTGAGCGTAACGTTACTTATATTTACACGCTATTCTGAGAGGTATGCAACCCACTTTATGTAGAGCAGACCGCCGCCCACATACTTGTATATAAGTATTTTCTGCCTTATCTCATATTTACACGAGTAGTTTTTGTTTCTGCGCGTAACTTGCTCACTTTTAATTAGCTAAATTCTGTTCATTGTTTCAACTAAATGTGACTGTGCTGACTTTGCTCAGCTCTTAAGCATGAGTGCACGAGCACTGATGACAGCTTGAAGCCCACAGAATTGCTTTACTACTCGTACTACTTTCTTTGACAAAGGTGTACAGTTTCATTTATAGTCTTATCTAATTTAATGATACTTCAAATAAGTCAAGTATGCAATGGAAAATAAATAAGAGGAGTTTAGTCGTGATTGCACGACTAAGGGATACCCCAAACTGTACGGGAGCTTATTTGTAAATCAATAAGATCTAAGAACACATTGAGCTTTCTAGGCATATATATTTATTCTTGATCAAGGCGATGAGCTGAGTCCACTTAGCCCTGTCCCTCTCTCTGTCTGCTAATTTTTGTGAACACGTATATAGCACGGGCAAGTATTTTAAAAATAAAGAACATTCACATAATTTCTTTTAATTTGTTAGATAAGAAATCTTATCGAAAATAAGCTCTGTTTTCTATAATCAAAGATATTTTATCGATTGGATACCGACCCCAAATCCATCCAAATATTCATTTCAAATACCAGAGACTTGTGCTTAAACAAATACTCAAATTTCAATGTAATTTTCATGCTACACATTTGTAGCTAGCTAAATCTAATAATGGGAGCCAAAATTATATAGTCGTTGCACTTGTGCGATTTTAAACAATTTAATTTTTTTAATAATATTTATAATCATCAGTAACCTTTTCTTATTAGATTACAATTTTACAACCTCATATATCCCTCATATTACATTATATTCTACGATTTTAGTGAGAAATTACTTCTTTGCTGAGTTGTGTGTCAGTGCCAGTGACTTTTATCGTACAGCTACAAAATTCAAGGCCTATTTGTGGCTCGCATATGGCAAACTCTGAAAAGTAGTACATATACATACGTTTTTAAGCTGATAAGGAGGGTTCGGCTAGGTTTGATAAGAGCGTACATAGACCATAAAAAATATTTAATTTTCATCAAAAACAAATCCACCGAATCGACATGACTTCAGTTTTCTAAAGGTAAAAGTTTGACTAGCTTAAAGTATTGCAGATATATACCAAAATTTGACATGCATAATAATGTTCTAATCACTGATAAACGCAATTTCAAATTACATTAAGTCAATAAATATAAAATTCAGCTCCCCGATAAGGTCCATAGAGGTCAGGCTATAATATTCCATTTGTTTCTCACAGATAAAAACAGTGGAAACCTTTTTGGGTTTGGTTACATAGAGCACACTTGTCATGCGTTTTCAATCAAAGTATTTGACTATGCAATGATATATGGAGTAGATATTCATATTTGATAGATAACATAGATAGAAATAAATGGGAGCGCTACTCCTATGTAGCCCTGAATTCTATTTGCTTAACTGATAAATAAAACAAGTAAGAAGACTCTAGTCGAGACTGCTCGACTAGGAGATACCC